GCTCAAATGTAAATGACAAAGACATGTGTATTCCTCAGATTTGTGAATCAGTGACAGTAACTTGTTATTCTGAATAATTATTAATCTGCATATGTAAACCTGGAAATATTAAAAAGACTATCAATCAAAAATTGGTTTTGCCAAGCATATATACATGTATAGGTTAGAGTTCACTGTTGTATGTTCGAGTGATTGTCAACAATAACAATATTAAAATTGTTCGTAATTTAAGGTATCAAACATTTTATTCCTTTATATATATAAACTTACGTTATTAAATGTCTGTTTACATGTGTATATCTCAGATATGCTTGAACCGACTTTGTTCAAACTTATGCACCATACATTATGTATCATACATATGGATTGTACAAAGTGCAGAAAATGCATCAAAATCAAGCATATATGCATTTCCAAAACTTAACCTTGGGCATTCATGGACTAATTTCATTCAAACATGTACATGTACCTAGACGTTTGTCAGAACTTATCACTAACATGTCTTGACTGATTGCATTTCAATCTTGTGAATACAAATCATGAGCCAAATACATATACATGCCTAAATAATCGTACAAGGAAATATACTGTATAAGGACTATTTCATATGCTAAAATTTAATTGTTATTTTTTTATTTATTTATTTATTTATTTATTTATTAGGGTGAAAAATATGATGGAAGAAGAGCAGACATATGGTCTGCTGGTGTAATATTATATGCATTATTAGTGGTAAGCGAAAGATGTGAATCTTGTCTTTACATCACTGCCAATTATTGTCAATGTGTGCTGAATGTGATCAATTCTTACTTAAATAAGCTAGGTCAATCCGATCACGACCATCATGTATGTGTGTGATTTCTCAAAGACTGCTTTACTGTTAGCCTTGGTATTTAGGTGCAGATATCATATCGGGAATTTATCAGTCCCAAATTCATCTTGAATTTTCAAGGTGAATGTCCTGGTGAAGCACTCCACTATCACCTTGAAGTATTTCATTAGGACTATGTGTATGTGACAATGCCCTCATCAGTTTAACAACAGCCAATCATATAACTTCTTTCTTCAACGCGCTTGGCCAAGCTATCAAAATCTTCAAGGCGGAGCTAAGTCACTAAACGCTCCACGTTGTTATTTAAGACGCGCACCACTCTACCATGTATTTCTATGGACTCTGCGCGAGCTGCTGTGCACTGATCAAAAAGCCGGTGAAAATAGCTAAAATCAAGAAAACAGCACAAACTTAACTTTGAAGAAATCCAACCAAATTTAAATATGTTGCATATGTAGGGGGTGACAACAACCATCCCAAAATACCGTTTTCTGAGAATTTATTGGCCTTTGTTTCACCATGATGGTTACCAGGCGGTGAAAATGCCTGACCTGAGAATAAATGTCGCTGAGCACAGCTAAAGCTGTGTTGGCTTGGATGTCGAGGCGATACAGCGACAATATCCATACATCATGCAACTCACTGATATTCAGACCAAAGCTATTCAAGCTTTACTTAATAATAGTGGTAATAGTGTTGTCACCACTGTTGACTGTTATAGAAGTAGGTGTTATACCCCAAAGCTCGTGATATCACTGCAACACATATCGGCAGTAATGAAGCCGAAAACATCAGAAATGCAGAGCTCCGAGCGCTTTCTGGCAGTCTTTGTAACAAAGCTTTCTATTGGTCGGTAAACTTTCTATCGCGCAACCACGTGACATACACGGTTATGAATGGTATTACCGCACGTTGTTGTAGAGGGAGGAATGTCCGAACGGAACAACACCGTGCAGGCAGACGATGTCCCAAATTATTCCAAATAAATAACTTTAATACACTGTATAACACAACAGCCAGGATTTATTTCATATTGACATAACCATTTTCTTCTTACTGTGTTATAACTACCATATCTAGTCTCGATATCTATCTTAGAAAACTTTTACATGTATGAATTCATTTTCAGGGTGCCTTGCCTTTTGACGATGACAATTTACGCAACTTATTAGAGAAAGTGAAAAGAGGTGTTTTCCATGTACCTCATTTTGTACCACCAGACTGTCAACATTTATTACGAGGTCTCATAGAAGTAAATCCAAACAAAAGGTTTACGGTAAGCAGCCGTGCCCTTATTACGTGTTGAATCACATTAGGGCCATTACATGTATATCCGAAAATCTGTTATTAGTATCATCAATAGTTTTGGTCACCTTTTCAATTTCCAGTCCAATTTATGTCACAGTCAACATTTCCTGTTGGTAGCGGTCAGAATATACATGATTGTAGGTCTGTTGATTGAACTACTGGTCAGTACAATGGTAACAGTGGTGACTTCTTTTAAATTCACATGCCATATCAATCAGGGGTTTTTCTAGAAAAAATAAACAAGAGGGAGCACACACAGGCGATCAACCTGTAAACACCATATCGGAAGGTTTCTGCGCCGTTTTAACGGTGTATCTATCGCCATTGAAATATTTTTAGAGTAATTTTAGTGTATTTGGTGTCCAGACACATTATCAGCTGGTGTTGCTGGGAAGTTTTCACGGAGAAAAATATATTTGAGAAAGATTTTATGTTGTAGGGCAGCACAGAAGTGCGCGGCTCAAGAAATGTATTTATGACTTGAAAGTTCAATCGTCAATTCAGTGAGAGGGCGCCAGCTGAGAGTATAAGGGCGCTGCGTCCCTGTTCCCCCGTTTAGAAAAACCCCTGTCAATTATGCATTTATATCATCATATGTAGTTATAGAGATTGTACTGAGTAGTCAAATCAACTCTGACACGTATGCTTGTAAAATACTTGTATTTCTATCTGTCGATTGAGTCACCTTAAATTAATACTGGATTGGATTTTTAAACACATTAACACATCACAATGTAGTTTTCAACTTTCTCTGTCTAAGCCATATCATGGTCTCTTTATTCATCAGATTGAACAAATCACAAAGCATCCATGGTTTTTAGCGTAAGTACCACAATGCACCATTCTTTCATTGGTAGTACCCCCACCTCCCTCCCATCTGCATGGTGGTGTGTAATTATACTTCCACAAGCTAATGCTATACAGTTACAATGTCCTAGTTATACTACTACATAAACTGCATGCCTTAACTATCAGACCTAAAATAGTAGTATGTGCCAGTATGTATAATATCTCTTTCAAAGCTACTGTGTATAAGTCTAAATCAGAGCACTACAGATTATTGAAACAGTATGCATGGCTCACACCATCATCAAATTGTAATAATTATTAGTCTTTGAGAATCTATAAATCAGAATACATTTCAAATGACCACATTATTCTATGCACAGATAGTGCTGTACACCGTCCCGTGTTAAGGGATGGTCTGTTTTATCACATTCATTTTCTCATATACTAGTAGGCATTTTCTTTTGTTCTTATTCAATGTATAAATATTGTTGTTTATTTTTTTTTTTTCACAGTGGTTCCAAGTCTGATATTGAATTAGAATTACCAATGACTCAAGTAGTGCAGGTAAATGTACAATCGAATAAAAATGTGTCTTTGTCACAGTTCTTGTATTAATAGTTATGACTGTTCAAATATCAATCATTGGTTTACATCCCAAATATGGTGATAGCTTTTTATTTTTTAGACGGCCTGAAATTAGACACCAAGTGCGACTAATAACACCTAATATTTTGATGTTGCGGTTGTCAATAGTGTCTCGTTTTTATTGATTGTTTATTTGCTTGACTACAGTAATGCAGAATCTTTTTCGTCTCATCGATCTGAACTTTTCTTAGACATTATAAAATATTCATGCAACAGTTGTAATAAATATAATATTCCAACTAAGTGCATGTAAGCAGAGAAAACAACAACATAGCAATATCTGTTTTGCCAATGACAATATCAAATCAAACTTATATATATTTATTCCGTCAGTTTAAAAATGTTGGTCAACTGTTTGATTTCGAATTTACAGTTCTTATTTTATAGCTCAATGTCGATGTGCTGATTTTTGAAGATTTTGCAAACCTTTTGATTCATCAAAATTGAAAATCATAAATTGTTCATAGCACATTGTTAAGCATGGAAATACCCCAAAATGCTTGCGCTTTTGACAATTAACATATGATGTTCGGACATTACTACGGTGCTATGACCTTTCTTTGTCATACCAATTCACGAATAACGCGGGATCTAGCAGTGAATGGAATATAGTTTGTTAGGTTATAATAGAAATTCCAGGTTCTGTGTAGTGGCTGATTTATTAATTGTTGTGCGCCCCCCTTCTTTTCAATTATAAACAGTACTTCCCAATACTGCCCTCTAGTGTTGATGAATCACATACAATTCTAATTTTCAAATTTGTTTTTACTTTAAACTCAAAATGAGAATGAGAACAGAAATAAAATGCCATCTTTAATCTGTGTTCTTCTAACTCTATGTAAAATATGAAACCAATCGTTAATGCATGTGCTATTTTTAGTTCCCCTGTACTGTTGGTAATGTGGACTGATGATATGCCAGGTATCGTCTTATACTAATGTATGTTCTGTTGCCATATCGCTCTAGGCAGTTTTGTTCAGACATATATCCTGTGTTATTCTGTATAACTTGGTTTCAAACAATGTGGGTGGTTGTCTCAGTGCATGAAAACAATTCTGATTTTCAATTTTAGGAATTTTTTTGCATGTTTTTGGTCAAATTGACTTAATACACTTTTAATTCAAACGTTACAGCATGATATATAGATTTATATGGTTTTTGTTTTTTGTTTGTTTGTTGAATGGACATATTTGAATGTGTCTTCAAAAAATATTTGAATAATCTGAATAACAATACTGAAAATTTTTAATTACCAGAAAGATTTGCATGGCTACTAAAGATGTGATTTATAGGCAGATCTAGTCATTGTCTTTATGCTTGTACGTCTGGCATGGTCAGGTACTACGGTACATTCAAATAGTTGGTTATTAACAGATTGAAGTGTTGCATTACAGCAGGTGATTGTTCACATCAGATCGCTGTTGACAAATAAAAATTTATATTCTAGCTATCTATTTGAGTATACACCAGCAGCTGTTTGTTCCTCAGTTTTATAATGCAAGTACTTCTGTGGGAAAAGTATTTTCAGTTTAGATTTGATCATTTCTTTCGCATCTTTTGTTGTGTAAAGACAGATGACCCCTTGAGATTTATTTGTAGCATTTTTGTTGATTCGGTTTGTACTCCCTTTTGCAGCAACTCCTAGTTTGCCCTTCTTTGTTAGTTGTTTAACCTTCTGCCATGCTTTGTCATGGCTGGTCAGCTCCTCGTTATCTCTGCAGATCTGATTATTAAATATCAACCATTTTCCATTGACTGGTTTTGCACTTGTGCGAGGGCTTCTGCAGTGAACCCAGTAAAGTAGATTACATTTAGTTGGCAAATCTAAGTCTGCGTATCTACGATCATTCAATTCTGTTTCTTCGTATTTCATTTTTGATTCTCTCGTTGTGTAATGCTCCACTTCATAAATACGACTTGTTGATCGGCGTAATTTATATCGATAGGTGCTTATCTTTAGACTTTTGACCACCATGTCAGAATATGAATAATAACATGTTATGCTTCTAACAAGGTTTTCTTTCTGGGATTTCACCCAGCATATCATCTCATCTGCTGTTTGAAATCTGTCTGTCTCAATCCAGCCTTTTGTCTCCAGATCAAACCTACAAGATGTATCTTCCTCCAAGTTAATTGTCTGGAGATACTTGTTGAACAGGCAGGCATTTTCTGTACTGTTGATGTTGAAATTTTTATTGAACCATCGGCAGTAGCCTATGTCGTCTTCCACAACTTGTCGAAATGTCTTGCCGCGATGTTTGCCAAACTCTACTTTTGTATTATCCCCTATTATACTACTTAGGTATTGGTAGAACTTCCGGGCATTTCCTGAATGCATTCCCGTCTTAAGAAAATTACTGTAAAACCTTCGACAGTAGCCTTTGTGGTCAGTTGCAACTTCCTGGAACAGTTTTCCATAGTATTTACCGAACATTAGTTTTGTTTCCGCCATGCTGGCTGTGATTAAACAAGTGCGTTGTTTTTTTGGAATGTCAAAAGTGAGATATCACTTCTGATTGCGTACCTCAGATGTGCAAATATTGTATTGTTCAGTCTATGCGTAACAATATATAGGATACCTTTGTACTGTTGAAATAACAAATATACACTGAGTTTAAAGGTTACTTGAAGTGGGTAGCAATCTTTGTATCTGCTGCCCAGTCTGGAATCTCAGCAAAAATAGTGTACTGCCCCCTAGTGGCAGATGTTTGAAAAACATAGCTGGATCTTGCTTTGTGTTATGGTGCAAGTGGCCGATAGCTATTAACTAGTTGTATAGTTAAATCAACAAGCCATTTTTTTTTTTTTTTTTTACTGTGACATCAATGCTTGAGCTCAAAATTGTATCAAAGGCACACTTTCTATGTCCCTTAAAAGGTAATACTTATTACCTGCATGCTACTTGCAGTTGGTAATTGATGACAGAAACTTGTCAAAGCGCCATCTAGTGGCAAAAGCAATGTTTTTTTGGGGTTGTTGTACATGTATCCATAATGGTTGTTTTGTTTTTTCCTCCATTAGACGCATATTATACCATCACAGCATGAACTTGACCGAGATGTTTTATGTAGTATGAACTCACTAGGGTGTTTTAAAGACAAGGAAAAATTAGTGCGTGAATTACTTAGCCCAAGGTAAGTCAATGTTTTTTGAACTTTTGAACTTCTATGCTGGATCATTTCAATGCGAATTATTTTTACCTGTCAATAGATTATGTTAATAGAACTAATACCGTGGTATTTAAATCAAAAGAAGATTCTTCAGGGAAATAAAAATCCCAGTATTGAACAAAAAAATTGATCATTGGTATCTGTTCTTAATAATTATAATATTTATGAATTATACATGAATAAATGTGTATTTTTTGTTTCTTCCAGGCACTGTACAGAAAAAGTTATATACTTCTTATTGTTAGACCGTAAACACCGTAGACCTAGCTGCGAAGACGAGATTGAAGTCCGACATAGAAGCCACTCAGGTGAGCAATAAAAAATACCACCCCGGTGTGAATGTAGGAGATGAATGATTAGCTGACTGTGAGGGCGGCATTCGCATTCCTGTAACCATGACAATGTATTTTCCTGCTTCTCATCACAGAAAGCTCTCTCATGCTGTTGCAATAATTTGATGGATATAGATGTAAAAACCAACCCGTAATAAGCCAAATGGTGTATATAATACTTGTACAATAACTTTACATGAAATTCTAGCATGATATATTGTATTAAACAATGTATGTCTACCTTCTTTAAAATGTTGCATTCCTACTTTATAAATCTGTGATGTTCCTTTCACTGAATGAGTAATGAGGAATTAGCTGCAGAATATTAATTTAAGCAGAGTCTTTGTTTATTCTTGAAGATCAGTTACTGTACATCATATGTATATTTTGTCTAATGGATAAAAACCTCCAGTACTCTCAAAATAAAATGTGTGAGACAGTGACATCAAGATATCTACTTTTGATGTTTCATTTTCACATTATTTGAACACATTTTATGTTTATAGCTTGTTGTGGGAGTGATGTTTCACATATTTGAAATGTGGAAATGCAACTTTAATACATGTATGTGTTGTTTGTCTGAATGTGTGTAGTAATTATGTTTCCTGAAATGAGGGCACGATAAAACTTATGAATTATTAGATAAAACATGATGTTTTACCATATAGGTGACCCACCAAGGAAAAGAATAGATTCTTTTAATGGCAAGAGCCGACCTCAGAGATCGTCGTCAGATACATTAACGCAAGGATCTCCAGTACATGCTAGAAGAGCTATTTCGTTATCTCAGGGAAAGTCAGGGTAAGTGGTGTTTGTTCTCTGCTAAAGGACAATAGCTGTGCTTTTGAACAAAAAAATTTGTTGAAAAATAGCCAATATTGTTTGAGACACAATTTTAGACATAATAACACAGGCAAAGTGACCCCACACTAGATTAAGGTCACATAAAATGCGATGTGAAAATGATGGGTCAGTACAGTAGTTGTCATTTTGTTGAAATCTGTCGAGTGATAAGGACACTATGGGAAATAACACATCAAATCATCAGTGAGAGGCTTAACTTTTCAAGATGGTGACAATTTGACATTTCACCAAAAGTCCCTCGGTAAGTTGCGTTTTGTACCATAATCCCTGGAATTTGTCATATTTCAGTGCAAGAAGTGTCAGTAGTAGTCCATTGCATTCTCCACAAGCAAGTCCAAAGCATTCTCCAAGAAGAATAGAACCGCACACCTCATCACCACGGAGTTTGAGTCCATCCAGTCTCACTGTACCCACTCCGCCTGGTAGTCCAGGACCTCAACAGGCACAATGGAAAACTAGGCTTTCAACTATAAAAAATTCACTGCTAGGATCTCCAAGGTTTCATCGGCGGAAAATGCAAACACCGATGGACGAACTTTCATTAACTCCAGATTCCTCTCCAGAGTGAGTAATTAAATATTAAAAATGTGTTTACTGAAACATAGAAATATGTGAATAAATACAAAGGAATACACCCATAAACTCAATAGAATGCACCCATAAACTCAATAGAATGCACCCATAATAAACTCAATAGAATGCACCCATAAACTCAATAGAATGCACCCATAATAAACTCAATAGAATGCACCCATAAACTCAATAGAATGCACCCATAATAAACTCAATAGAATGCACCCATAAACTCAATAGAATGCACCCATAAACTCAATAGAATGCACCCATAAACTCAATAGAATGCACCCCTAATAATAACTTCAATAGAATGCACCCATAATAAACTCAATAGAATGCACCCATAAACTCAATAGAATACACCCATAAACTCAATAGAATGCACCCATAATAAACTCAATAGAATGCACCCATAAACTCAATAGAATGCACCCATAAACTCAATAGAATGCACCCATAATAAACTCAATAGAATGCACCCATAAACTCATAGAATGCACCCATAA